TTAAATAAGCTACGATGTTTTCTCGTGACGGGTGGCTTGCTGCGTTGGTTTGGTTCCTACGTGTCCGAACGCACCTAAGTAGTACACACGGGCGGCTACTCTTCGCATCCATCTATAGTGACTTCTGGCGTGCCTCAGGGCAGTCACCTGGGATCACTACTATTTTTAATATATGTTAATGATATATTCTCTTGTATAACCAATTCACGCTGTTTAATGTATGCTGATGATTTAAAAATTTTCTTGCCGGTTCGGACCACAGATGATTGTGTGAAGTTGCAGGCTGACCTTGACAGGCTTGACCAGTTCTGTGTTAGAAATCACCTTATTCTAAATATTGTCAAATGCCATACTATTTCATTTACTAAAAAACGCGATTACATCAAATATATCTATTGTATTGGTACGGAAGGCCTGCGTCGAGTGACGCACACCGTCGATCTTGGTGTAACACTCGACCAGAAGCTGATATTTGACAGACACGATGACGGAGTGGTAATAAAATGTTACAGAATGTTAGGCTTTATAAAACGATCCACCGAGCATTTCACAAACTCAAGTGCAATTATAAGCATGTATACTGCTTATATTGGCAGTGTCTTAAACTTTGGAAGCATTGTCTGCAATCCACATTATGCGGTTCACATTCAACGGTTAGAAAAAGTTCAAAAATGTTTAATTAAATATCTTTGCTACAAAACCAGACGTGAATATGTGGATTATCCCGCAAGCTGTGAGATGTTCGGATTTCTGACTCTCCGTCAATGACGAGCATATAATGACGTACATTTTCTGTTCAAGCTTGTCAGTGGTCTTTCTGATTCACCATCTTTACTGGCTAGGATCGACTTTCATGTTCCCCCGCGGCAACTGCGATATGACTTTTTGTTTTACGCACCTATGCCGCGAATTCCCCTATTCTCAGAATAGAGCGTACCGCTGCGCTGATCGCATTAATTGCGATTTATTCGCGTATAATCCAGGTAGTGTTAAGCGCAACATCAGAACCGCCATTATATCTTCACCTGCCGTATCGCTATAATTGTAATTGTATTAGAAATGTTGTATTAGAAATTTTTTTTTTTTTAGTTGTACTTCACAAATGTATGTTGTGGAACAACTTTATTGGGTTCGTCCCGTTGTTGTTCTCTTGTTGAAATAAATAAATAAATAACACTCAACTGTTTAAAAGGTATTTTTCTTACAAAATTGCCGATTTTTGCAATTGGAAGCTTTGCGTTCTAAACAATCAGTGCTTGTCTTCAACAAAGCATATAAATTGCAATTTGATTTTTGATATTACTTGAAAAAACAATTTTGTTTTTGTTCTTTTGTGTTTTGTCACGTTTTGCGTGTTTTCTCGATTTATCTGTTTTCTTCTATTCTCTTCTTATTTATAATATTTTCAGGAGTTTGTGAAAATCAGAGGTGTTTATCTAAACCTCCTCTGACAATCGTCCTAGTTAACTTGATTTAATTAATAGTATTTTTATTTTGCTATATTATTATATTTTTGTATCAGGTTTTTGTTATCAGGTCAATAAATGAGGTATTATTATTATATTATCATTATTAACAATAATATAATGATAGAAATACCACAATTATGGTACTCCTTCTTTTATTGAGCCTGTTTTGGTTCAAAAGTACTGTAGTTCCGACCAGTTCTGAAGCTTTCCGCGCATACATATTGCATATTAGACGTATGCACGGAAAGATTCAGAACTGTTGCGGTCTGTCCTAATTTCATTTTCAGTGCCTTTCATTGACTCCAGATTGACTCCTTCAGACATAGAATTTTTTGATTTTCCCTTTATAAATTTAATTTTATAGATTACAAGAAAATTGTCATTGAATACTTCTTATAACTGAGAAACCATCCGGGATCAGTTTAAGAGTCGCCTTACTGATGAAATTTTTGTGATCAAAAGATTATGATCAAATTGAGGTAGTCATGCAGCAGATATCAGTGATATTGGAAAGTCTAGTTGTAAATCATGACGAAAGAAAAGATATTCGGCGACCTTTTAACAGAGCTAAAAAAATAAGTCACTATGAACAATTAAAATGATATGTGGCTGATTATAACATGAATATTCGCACGGCCAAAAAAATCCACGGTAGAGATTCTAATGCAGGCCAACTTTCCTGGAAGGCTGATTATAACATCGCTAGGACAGGTATTTCCCTAGTGATAGGCACTATCGAATAAAAACTATCGAATAATTCGATAGTTGCTAAGTATTCGAATAATTTGATATAGTAGACGCCACGAGAGCTGGCAGTAAATCATCGTTTTCCGTTCTTACAAATGCCATACGTAGTAAATTAAAATTCACAAACCGCTAGAGAGTATTATGTGTTAGAAAGAGATAGCATTAGTTTAATATGTCTGCTGTACAATTCAAATAGCCACGTCGAAAAAGTACGTCTGTTCTTCTAAGGGATGTCACTCTATAATTATAACCTGAAATTGAAACGTCTTCTGAGCGTTGTCATGAATCTGTTGACATTTTTAAAAGCCGAAAATATGTTTTCTTTGAAAGGAAAATCATTAAATAAAAAATCTATGATGATGTTTATGAATGTTTTAAATTATTTTCGGCATACATACGCGAATGAAGGAGAAACTAGAAACTTAGAGAAAAGTGCTACTGCTTGCGGAATTTCGGTAAGAACCACTTATCGAATCAAAAATCGATTTGAAACCGCATCATTAGAAGGAACCTTTGTATCCTCACCCCAAAAAACACGTAATAGGCAAAAAGTAAGGTGGACTGATATTGATGACTTTGTGAAAGACGCCATATGTCGTAAAATTTATACAAACCACAATAAACTACTTCCTGTTACTGTAAAATGTCTCAAAGAGGAGCTTCGTAAAAACGTTTTTTGAAAGCTAACAACATTGCATATAATTCTAATATGCTTAAATTTGAACTATATGCGTTAGCTAAAGATGCCCAAGTTACCCAAACGTATGAAATTGATGAATTGGCGAATGAGTGGGGCCATAAAGTGCTTCGATTGCCACCTTATCATTGCCAATTCAATCCTACTGAATTAGTTTGGGCAAAATGTAAACTTTTTTACAACCAGCATAGTGATAGAGATGGATATATGGTGATGATAAGGTTTTGGCAATGTGGTCAGAGGCTTTGTCACGCGTAAACGCAGAGGAATGGCGTCATTACATTAATCACGTTGAGAAAGAAAATGATTCTGGGTATTAGAAATCATCTGGAAAGAGTGCAGGCGCCATTAATTATTAATTTAAATCAGGAGAGCAGTGATGATGAAGAGGATCACGGAAAATTATTAAATATTAAATATGAATTAAATATTAAATTAATTTATTAAATATAATATATGTATATATATATAATAATAGCTGTGTTTGGTACACTTGCTATAAATACTCCTAGTGTAGCAAGTGTAGTGCAGTTGACAACTCTCAGTTTTCAACACATTTTCAAAGTGCATAAGTGTAACAATTTTAGGTGTTTGGTAAAACGGATTATTATGACAGTTATAGGTTATGTAATCTTTATTATTTCTGTAGGAAGTTGAATAATTTATTATTGATCAAAGAATCAAGATGAATAAATCAAAAAAGGAAATATTGCCTGTAGTTTTCCCCCTTCATCATAAATTATTTTTACATTTAACTGTCTTTCAATTTTTGCCATTATATTTAACCGGAGTACTTCCAATTTGGTTTTTAATTTTAATTGAATAGAACGTTTTCTACAAATCAAACTGTTATTTATTGTTTTTACTAGCTTACAATATTTTATTTTTGTTTAAATAAATCTAACTTTGACACTTTCAAAACACTAAATACGTCTTAAAGGTTATGTCGACTTACACTACACTTCCTACACTTGCCGGCGAGTCGATGTGAAAAGTGTCTGCACTTTTAAAACTCAATCGCTTACCAAACGCGGCGGCACTATCTACACTTGTTTGCACCAGTCTACCAAACACTATTTTTAAGAAAAATTGTGCACTGGTGTACGTTAGTGCAAGATACCAAACAAAGCTAATATATAAACGCTTTTTCGCTGGTTAACCTCTCCTATCTTTGACAATGTTTGACATATAACCTCTATTACTAACATAACCTACATTTAAATGTATGTGGTGAAATAATCTAAGTCGTACGTCCATATCTTGATTTATACGATTTTTAAACGTCAAGTCACTGCCAGCTCTCGTGGTTTCTACTATATCAAGAAATGTATTCGAATGTTTGAATAAGTATCATATATTAAAATTTGTTGATTACTAAAACAATAAAAACACAAAAATCTTTATTAAATTACTTTTTTTTTAAGATATACACAAGATATATACAGACTTCGTTACCGAAATATGCAGGATCGACAAAGAAGTACTAATTTATATAATAATGCTATAAATATGGAGATATAATTTGCACATGAAACTATCTTCTACCCTAATTTTGAAAATTTAGGTATAAAATGTTCAAAATATATATTCAAAATTATATATATTTTGGCATAATATAAAGAATTTGAAATAACCATTAAAAACTTACTGTTTATTTAAATGTAGATAACCAACCATTCAAGCAAGTAACTCTGTAAATTAGAAGAAATTCTGTAAAACAAACTTATTTTAAGTCGAGTTATTTCCACCACTCCCATGTAGATGTCGCTTGAATACAGGGGATGAAATTTTTATTGATCGCATTAATGTGGGTAAGCTTCGTTGAGCTTTTCGCTATTGGTAGGAAGTTGCTTTGTATATAGTGGTGGGGTTCCCGTTTATTAATATCATAAGGGAATAAGCTGTTGTTATTGCGCAGCCCAAGGCAATTTTCCTCCCCGTTCTCCCGGGACGTGTAAACGTTGCATAATTGTTTAATTATTGAGTATAATCAGGCCACCCAGAAGCTCGGTTTTACGTTACCCGGAAGAAAACCGGAAACCAAAATCTAAGATACTAAACAGTTTAGAATGAATTAATAAAAAAAATTATTATTGTCATTATTTATTTATTTATTAAAATAAATTATTTTGTACGTTTTCTCAAAGCAATTTTGAACGGATTTTCTGATTTTAATACTATTTGAGGTATAATATTTATGGATTCGCGTTTATCAACAGAAATAACTTCGTAAGCTTTTAATATCGATGCCAATAACGTTTTTTCTTCGTACATTGCGAATTTTTGGCCAATACAGTTTCTAGGACCAGCACTAAAAGGGATGTAAGCGTAAGGATGGCGATTTTTAGAATTTTCGGGTTGAAATCGATCAGGGTCATATTTTTCGGGTTCGGGGTAAATTTCAGCATTTCTATGAGTATGATAAATATCTAAATTGCAATTAGTTCCTTTCGGAATTTTAAATCCATCTAAAATAATAAATAAAATTAATGAAAATTTTAAAAAGGTAAAAATCATTGATCTTACCTAATGTAATATCTTCAGTTAGTACTCTAGAAATTAATGGTACACTTGGATAAATCCTCAAACTTTCTTTTATACAACATTCCAAGTATTTCAATTCGTTCAAATCTGAAATGGTTTCAGGCGTATTCTTATCACCAAGGACATCTTGAATTTCCTCGTAAGCTTTTTGCTGGCAATCTTGATTTAATCCTAACAAAAATAAAGTCCAACATATTCCGGTTGTTGTCGTATCATGACCGGCAAACATAAAAGTATCGACTTCCGCTCTAATATCAGAATCGGTTAGTTTCTCGGTTGAGGTCAGCAAAAGATCCAAAAACGATAACCGTTTTTTCGTAAAAGTTTCGTCGTCTTCTTCAATTTTAATTGGATGTTCTTTTAAGTATTCTTTTCGTTCCGAAATGACTTTATTGGTGAAGTTATGTAAAACTTTAACGTTTTCGTAGAAAGATTTTCCATCTTTTAAAAATGGATATAAAGGTGTTTGTTGTAAAATACTTGCTTGTCTTATTATAAACAATTCTCTTGTGCTATTAAAATAATGTTTGCTAAAAATTAAAATTTATAAATCTAATAATTACTTGTTCGTTGCTTGAATGTAGCTGCTATTTCTATCTGACACGGCATTTAAAGAAATACCCATTGCAGTTTCTGTTAATTAATTTAATATATATTATTTAAATAAAATTTTAATTCTTATTTTTCTTACCACAAATTATATCTAAAGTACAATGAGTTATATATGGACAAATGTCAAAACCATTCCCATTGCTTTCTTTTTCTAAATAATCAATTAATAATTTACTTTTTTTGACGAAAACAGGCATAAAATGTTCTAATATTTTAAAATGAAACGTGGGGGTGATCATTTTTCTTCTTTGATGCCATTTTACTCCGTTGCTTATTAATAAACCATCTCCTAACCATTCTTTTAAAGCTTCATACATCATTCCTTTGTGAACGTGAATAGAACTTGACATAATTTGCTGTAAAAATAACGATAAACTGAAAAATAACTTAATTGTAATTTAACTTACCTCAAGATGTTCTGGTTTTGTTACATTAATTAACGGTATAAAACCACTAAAAGCTCTAAATAAAGGACCATATGTTTTAACCATTTCCGAAAAGATTTTGAAGATATCTAAAAAACATTGTTTAAAAATTGTGGACAATATCGATCGTTATAAAATAGTCGAGATTGTATCACCTTAATTATAACTTTAGATTGCTAAAAGCGCGGTTAGTTAAGTTTGTGCGATGCAATCAGCTGAATCAAGAACATTTTGATTCAGCAAATGTATATATAAATCCTTCGAAGATTCCGATGACGACTCCAAGCAATTAGATAACGAACAGTTGGATGATTTTTCTGATAAACATTCTGCGAAAATTTGCAATGCTCCGCCTGAAGCAACTCTTGTTTCCAATTAAATTGCAAAAGAAGATGAAGAAGTGGTTTTGAAGAGCGATGAAGATGCTAATCAAGTAGCTACTAATCAAATATGTACCAAATAACAAAAGACAGATGTTATCCAAAAATTCGGAACATTGAATGTGCGATCCTTCTCCAGGCCCAGAGCTCTCAAATCACTTATAGAACAGGTTGATGGACTCAACATTAACGTTTTGCACCTTTTTCATATCCCAAGATCTGTTTATTTCTTTTGCCTGCAGTATTTAATCTACTGCAAGGAGTATTTAGTTTTACAAACGGTACTTAGTCCTCCACAAATAGAAAGTACTCTCCTGGAAACGGTAACCAACCTTTACGGGCCCATTAGGGGTAATCTGCACGTTACACAAAAAGAGGATTCAACTGGATTGCTGAAATTACAGAGGTATTGTCTTGCTCAACGTAACCTATAAAATACTCACGATGATACTGAGAGAAAGAATGAAGCAATTCCCCGAGAACATACTAGTGAACTACCAAGTGAGCTTCTTCTACAATGAACTAAATATGCGCCGTACGACAAATGTTGGAAAAGGTACGGTATATATCACCTATTTATAGTCTTCAGAGCTGTATATAAATACATAGAAGTAAACTAATAAAGCTACGATCAACTCTACGATGACATTGAGATACAAGAAAAACAACACAAACTTTCGAAATAAACCACAGACTGCGACAAGGAGACGCGTTGTCGTGTCAACTGATTAATATCACACTGGAGAAAGTAATTATAGAGGCAGATAATATTTAGGTTGCAGAGAGATGCGAAAAGGATTGGAGTTCCGAACTGGAAAGCAGTGGACTTGAACTGAGACAGTTGGAGGAGCTCTAATGTAGACCAATACTCGACTTGGGCTGTAACGCAAGTGAATGGAATGGATTCAAACTAACAAACTGAAGCAAGGAAGGACAGTACAAGTAACTTTTGACTGCAGTTTATGTAAAATTAATATACATTCGGTCCACTGCTTTAAATATAAAGCAGAATAATGCCCACTTTAACAATCTTCTTGATAAGCTACCCAGGAGATAATTATCATGGTTTATCTATCGGATGCATTTATCAAGAGATGGTAAAAGTGGTCCTAAGTGAGGCACATACTAATACGGTTGGTAATATTTATTAAGCGACTTAAACAAAAAGTTTTACATCTATGCAACTGCACTGAACAGATCTTGTTTGAACTTTCTGAATTTTTGATTTGCTTCTTATATGTTTCAAATTTTAAAAGTTTAAAAATTTACAAAACATTTAATGGAAATATTTGGAAAGTAGAAAAATATAAACACTATTTGTAGGTATACAACCTTCCAATGACTGGCCAGAAATATTTCGACTATTTTTGGAAACCAGATAGATATGTGAATTTCAAAATGAGTAAGTGATACGAACTGTTCTATGACTAGCCAAAAAGGTGCAGTTTATAATGCTTCGAAAATGCCTGCTTTTTTGTTCCTATAAGGACATTTTGTTCTTTATTAAATTGTGAAATCACAGTAATGGATAAGGTTCTTCCCAGTTTGTACTGTGATTATGAAATCTAATAGCCTAACATCAACGCTTTGCCGAGTTTTCTAATATCAAGTAGTAAGCTTCTTAGTTTGGACTTTAGGTACACAAATTGCTGAATGCGAGAGCAACAGTCAACACTCATATATATATATTAGTGAATCATACAGATGAAGCGAATAAGCTATCTGAAAGCAATATCAGTATGTATGTTACCGGCCAAACCAGATTTCAAGCTAAAGTAGCTTTTCCTAGGTCAAACCAGTTTGTTATACGAGTGTTGCAATCATCTAGTTTAGTATAGGAAAAACTAGTTTGGCGTACCTACTTATTATCGATACGCACTTCAGACAAAACTAGTATGTGATCATATCAATTCTTGATGTAGATAGAGTTAGAGGAGGCCTGAATATAGGCCAGAAATTCTATTGCAGGTTAGTTAGTTAAACACTTCTCATATTGATAAATTGAAGCAAATTAGTCATAATAATATAATTTAACAAAATAATTTTACAATTTTTACTAGAAAGACAACTTGATCAAGATATTGAAATCTCGTTAAGGGCTACAGTAACAACTCATTAATTTAAAACAAATTTTGCGAAGTGTACCTACTTGCACCAAAAAAACAGCACAGCAGATGTGAGTGTAAGAAAGAAAAAAATTCTGTGCAATTCTAAATGCCATCAGAATATGCCTTGCAGAAACAAATAAAACACTCAAATAAAAGTTTAAACAAATTACACTTGTTGATTTTAATAAATCTGTGTACTTAATAAATATTGTCTTTTATTAGTTAGTTCAATTTATAGTTATGACTTCATACCCTCTTTATCATTAAAAGGGATGTAGCTTAGATCCTAGGTCAAAGTAGTTTATCCCATGCTGATGTAATTAATCCTAACATGCGTAGGAAACACTGTTGTGATCTAGTAAAAACTAGTTCAGTCTGAAATCGGTTTTCCAAAGTACTGAAAGAATTAAAACACTCAAAAAGTTTTCTAATAAATCCGTTTTTCAGGTTTAGTTTAACCCTGAAAAATGAAAAATTTACACAAACCCTGATTTACCTAAATAACATGGACCTCAAAACCTGAAAGTGAAATTTTCTAAGAAGACATTGTCATTGAAGAGTAGACAATCAGGCTTTCATAAACCTTTAAAATGAATGCAGAAAAGTTTAAAATTTGCCTTTGCATTATAGATATAAAGATGACAATTATTGTGTTAGTTATTGTGTTTTGAATAATTAAAAATTTAATAAAGCAAACAAAAACCTTAATTTTGAATATGTTCCTGTTAAAAAGTTTTAAATTTTTATAAAAAATAACTATTCAAAAAATTGTTTTATCTCCTTATAAAATCGTTTTTTAACAGGAACTTTCGGTTAGATAAAAATAAATTAAATAGTATATTACCTGAACGTTTAACTCCGATAAACATATATAAATTTCCAATAATTGGATATATTTTTGGACCAGGAATTTTACTCAAAGGAAGATAAATGTCATTTCTCCATCTCAAGTACTTTAAAACGCACCATATTGTTAAAACAGCAACTAAAGCGCCAAAATATTCAATCATTTTTTGAATCTTTTTTTTTGTAGAACGCAACACTATCGTGCGAACACCCGAGTGAAACTAAGCATGTTTTACACTATTTACATTATCTATTTTTAGATTTTTAGTACAAGAGAATACAAAATTCAAGGTCGTTGAGTCATATCGATTATTTTATATAGACTGTCCCTGAAAAACTTGTACACTGTAGTACCACAGATTTTTGAACTAAAAGTAGGTCGAATTAACCCAACTTATCTATCTATATTTAAAGTCACACTTATTCTAAGTACATTCCTATGTATATCTTCATGCTAAGCATATTGTTTAACATCACTTACAAGGGAAGTATCACAACTGTGTGACAGAGAGTTTAATGAAATTTGGTACATTCATAGAGCAGACCAAAATAAGGTTTAGGTATTTTTTTAAACGTGCGGTAAAAGCCCCTGAGCCGAGTTTTGGGGGTTGAAAGTTTGGGGAAAGTTTCGCTTATATTTCGAAAACGAAAAGTGCTATCAAAAGTTGGTAAATAAATTGATAGAGTAAAAACTGATATTCATTTCTACTGCTCACACTACACTTGGAGGGAATTGCTGAGTATCGAAACAGAGTTTTAAATGAGGACTCAGAAGATGAAATGTAAATAAGAACATGAACTACAACCTCTACAATAGATGAAACTCTCAATGCAATAACTGCATTAAAAAATGGGAAAGAATCTGGCATTGATAAATTGATAAAGTATAATCAATATTACGCTAACTGGATATAACTGCAAGGCAACTGTTGAAACATGGAATTGCGAAACATGGACTATGTCGATAGGATATGAAAACAAATTAGAGAGTCTTTGAAAGACTCTTAGGTCAGATATATAGACTGGTAAGAGATGGTGCTAAAATGTGAAGAAGAATGAGTAATTGATATGAACTGTTCTATGACTAGCAAAAAAGGTGCAGTTTATAATGCTTTGAAAATGCCAGCTCAAGGAGAATGACAGCTCATGGATGGTCCAGATCTAGTACAACAAATGAAAATATGGAGAATAGCAGATTGCGACATCTAGGCATGGAAGTATGAATAGAGTTGTAGAATAGAAAGAGTTGTGTAGGAAATAAGAAGCATTCGGCGTCTGACGGATCGGAATGACAACGTATGCAAGGAAAAGTCCGCAGAAGACTATAGTGCTGTGAAAAGAAGAAGAAGACAACACAGCATACAAACTGTTCTGTCAAAAAAATCTAGGAATACCACTGTTATCTACGGAATATAAGATATTCAAATATATACTAAACCAACGAGTCTATCCATTTGCAGAAAAGATTATAAGCGAATATCAAATCGGATTTAGGAAATTAAAGTTCACAATCGATCAGATTGTTACAATCATGGGAATATGATCTAGATGTGTACAATATATTTATAGACTTCAGAAAACCATACGACTTTGTCATTGAAGATTAACAAAGGTCACGCTAACAAGCACAGACACAAAGGCATGTGTTCATATACAAAAACAGCTAACATAAACATTTGACATCATAGTGCATTTAAGTTTGCTCTTGAATATATCATAACGCAATGGAGATAGGAAAATCCAACCTATCGAGCAATAAAATCGTTCAACTGGCTTCATATATAGATGATATCAACATTATAGAACGATGAAAGATGCAGAGGAAACATACAAAACAATGAAAGAAGTAGTGGCAATTAGAATTAATTAAGAAAAAAGAAAAGTCATGCTTCAAAGCAGAATCAAAACCATGACTAACAAGATTACGTAGGACAAAATGGAGCCTCTAAAAGTGCATAATTACTTTGGAGTAAAACTAAGAAGCCTAAGCGGAGAAGAGGAAGACATTCGAAGGAAAAGTACGAGGGATGTCCGGTTACTAAGGTACATTTACAAATTACAGATAGACTACTTTATTTATAGAAATCAACCATACACTAAGTAAAAGTGTGAACTATTCACTATTTTTCAACATAATCGCCGCCAATGTTAAGGCTCTTATCCCAGCAAGCCACAAGCTTTTATATAGCTTCTTTGTAAAAGGTGCGATCCAAATTTTTAAAATACTGTCTTACTTCAACGTAACTTTCAACGGCCCAAACAATAATGTTTCTGGAGCCTGCCCTTCGTTTGATTTAAGGTGTGCAGTTCTGCATTGTCATGCAATAACCTTATTAACACCTTCTCCGTAAGTCTTCAGTATTTTTTATTAATTTCGGTAGGTATTTCATTATTTGCATGCAAAAAATGAATGATTGCTAGCATTTCAAACGTGGAGTATGTTTCGATCGGAGCTGACATTGTACGACTGTTATTGCACACCTTGTACTGAACCTAAGGCAATATGGAAAAAGGCTTGCAAGTATCTAAAATGCGTCGTGCAAACGTACCTTTGGGACCGGACATCCCTCGTATGTTAGCTAACTGAGCATATTTTGCACTTGCAAACATATTCATGTCAAAAACCATACACTGCAACATTATCATTAGAATACACAAAACCACCCATGGCTGTGATTTTAACTCAATACTCTCAAACGATATTGATACATTTAAGAGAAAACTTTTGAGGAGAATTTTATACCCAATTCAAGAAGACAATGAGCTCTCTTAAGAAACGAGAGATAAAGGAAGTAAGATTACTTGAGAATGCTAATAAGCAGAAAAAAACAAGGAGTGAGTCCGAAAAGAAGGGTACAGAAAAATGGGAAGAGACAGTTGATATTGTTGTAAACGAAATGCTAAGATGTAATAATTGTAAGAGAAGTTAAAGAACTATGGAGACAAAAATTGAAAAAAAGCACATGTATTTGAGTTACTCGATATTTGATATCTTTCATAAATTCTTCCATACTATCAGTTATAAAGAGATCAGTTTGTTCAGTGTTCAGAATAGACTGTATTTTGTAATCTTTTCAGCCTCTTCTTAGTTTTCTTCTTCTATTGCTTCTTGAGACATTCAGCCTCGTCTGAGACAAAATCTCGTCTGTATTCATCTGTTTCCTCTTTTACTCTTGTTATTCCATGAAAAATGTCTCACTTCACCGCATGCATAACATTTTCCTTACAAACCTCGTAAATTAAAAGAGTAATTTTGGTAATCTACATTGTTGGGTTGGGAATACTTTAACTTTAATTTAGCATCCAGAAGACACCCCTTTACAAATTCAATAGTTATTGCATTTTAATCATCATTCATACATTTTCTGTCGTACATTTTGATGTTAATAACCATTATATTAAAATATCTTCGAAAATGTACTTTAATGTTCGAAGACATTTTTCAATGATTTTAGCATATCATTTGATATTTTCTCATATACAAAGTCTCTAAGATTGAAATATTCTAAATATTCTAATTACCTACAAATAAGTAATCTAGATTTTGTTTCAACTCACCTTTGTGGTTTGGTAAGCTAAGTTTTTGAGGCTTGAATTTGACAATATCTACGTATAGAATTTGAACAAAATGTAAGAAAATATAATTTATGACAAAACTTACACTTTTAAAGAGTGTCTTTAAAAAGTGTAAAACGGACACACTTAAAAATGTAACCCTTGTCATAAAAGACCTTTTAAACGTTTCATTCCAACTACTTCATACTACTTATAGAAAATTAGCCTTCCCTTTGCAAATGAAGAATTTTTTTTTGTGTGTTGAGTATACGGCCGCTTCCGTATACACGTACACACGGTAGTACAAGAGAATCGAATTTTAAAAAGGAACATCCGTCAGTAGTAAAAACTTAACTGGCGCCATACGAAACCCGACGACTATTTCCTACTCGGCGACTTAGACCACTTAAAAACACTTTAAAAATAATCTGCGTCTTAGTAGTTCCTTCGATTTCCCTCTTCAAATCTCAACTAGGCATTTAAAAATATAAAGTGCGGACGTATTCCTGTCCGACCCGCGTTATAAATCTAATTAAAAACCAATAAATTGTCACCCAGTTACATTCAATTCATTCTCTTAAATCGTTTTTTCTGGTCGCTTAAAGAGGTAATCGTCGACGATGGAGGTTTTGGTCGTAACACGATGAGTTTTTCGGTGGCTTGTGATCTAGTTTTTTGACACCGACGATTACGGGACACTTTAACATTTTAAAGAGAACTTTAAAAAGACGAGAGAAATATATAAAGATTCCTATAGCTTTTTTTTGAGAGTAACAGCCGCGGTGGATTTTTTTTTGTCTCGAAGACTGTTAAGTGGTGCTAATTGAGTGTGTTATTGCTTTTTTAAGACGTGAATGAATGCCGCGGGATATGTTTGTACATTTCGAATATCAACTTGGGATTCAAACCTTTCAAACGTTTATTTTTTAATTACATCTATCATTAAATTGAATGTTAAATATTTTAAATCACTTTAACCGATTAAAATTCTTTTGAAAATTATTTAAAAGTTAGTTATTCAAAATTGTAATGAAATCATATAAATCAACCAATAAAAGAAATCAAAGAGAAATTGTTGACGTTGATAATATCTATATCGTTTAAAACAGACGCCGTTAAAAAAACGTATAAATTACAAAAGCGATAATAAAACGACATCGCGCTACTAAAACGGTTTCAAGCGTTCGAATTTAGATAGGTCGAGTGGCCGCTTTGTAGATGGGGAAAATGTCCCCCCGCCCGAAACGACCAAAGAACGACAGCCAGCCAAAAAAAAAAATAAATAACCTACACTCTCTCCATAGGCGTTTAACGCATCGGCACAAATAAAAATCCAATTTAGCTAAACGGGACCGGCTCTCTGTAACACGCCGCGCCGCTGCTTCCCCTCCATAAAGTCATAATACGGCGACGCATTCGAAAACATCCCCGTAAATAAGGCGGATAAAATCGGGTTTGCTCTCTTTCTCTGGTTATGTTCCTGCCACATACACAAACACTCTCACTTTCATCGTACTCTTCCCCCTCGTTTACTCTCTCGAAGTCTATTAGCTCGACACACCCCATGTTTAGACTCGCTTTTAAATTGACGTATAATTTGTCAATAAAAAAAATACTTACAGTACAGGGTTGGGGATACTTTAATA